TATATATATATGAGAATGATCTATTAATATCAAAAGTTCTATTTTATATGTGTTACATTGTATTAATAATACTAGTTACGATATATTCAGAAAAAATTATCTTTGTGGCGATGAAAAAAAATATTGTGAAGTTATTTTGCCTTTCCGATGAGACTGATTCAAATCTCCTCGAACGAATAATCTATTTGTTTCACGCTTGTTCCCTAACATTTTGTCGTTATAATTCTATTTAATAATATAGTCATAACGTCATCTCATGATTTTTATAGAATGCTCTCATTTATCGTGCTGCGATTACAGCAAAGTTTAAAAGTCTAAAATAGTGTAATATCTCAAACTTTCGCGAGAAAAGAAGATCAATCAAAATAAAATTTATATAAATCTTTTTGCAAAATTAGAAACATTCTTCTCCTAATCGTCCTTAATATTAAACCGAGAAATTTACTATTATCTAAAAATGTCTGTCTTTTATATTAGAAAAATGTGCAATTGATAATTAGAATCACTCGAAAGTCATACATTTTCTCAGCGATCTTTCCCTCACAAATGGCAGAGATAAAAAAATATATCTTTTAAAAATATGATCAAATATCATTTGTGTATTGTAAACGCGTTAATGACGTAAATATAAGATTCTTTTGTATTCAATTATATATTGTCCGAACCAGATGCAAGAAAAACGATTAAGAATCTAATTGCATCGACATTCTCAGTCAAATTAAATTTTACGATTTTTTTTTTTTTTGAAGTTAAATAGATTTACTTGAACAAAGAGAGCTCTAAAAAGTGACTTTAAATGCAATCGAGTCTGAGATAATCTTTTTATGTTAGACTGTCGAGTGAATTATACTGATTACTTCTTGCAACCGAGACCGGCGGACCAATTGCAAATACCGCCGATCGGATCAAAGGTCAGCTTATCGGGACAGGTGTACTCGGTTCCGATCACCTGGCCATTCACCATACGCGCACAAGAGATGAACTTCTTACACGAGTACGGATGCGGAAAATTGCCTTGGTCCAAGCAGCGTATAGTACCCTTACTCGTGAGGAAGAGCTTGCTATTGAGGAAAGACTTGCCGATAACGATCGGCGTCTCATCCTCGTAATAATCGTAGTCGAGCACCGGCGGTCTTCTGGGTCTCGTGGTAGCATTCACCGTGGGCCGCGCACTTTTCGTCTGGGATCTCTGACGGTTCCTGAAGTCTGCATCGTATCTCGAGATCGTCCTGTCGATCGTCGGATTTGTTCTAGGCGCTACGGTGGTGCTTATCTTGCGCCTTGCGGCGTCCCTTAACGCCGTTCGACCTAATTGTGTGGAACCTGATTAGTCTTTGCCGCTTAGACGTAAGTTTACCAGGGGTAAGCGGGTCACGTTGATGAGACTGATTCCCAGAGTGAGAGAGCGCGACGAAGTAGAAAGAGTGAGATTCATTAGTGAAATGTCAATCAACTGAATGATGAGAGTCAGTGGCTGCGTAGAAGCTGAAGGACGAAGGAACCGAGAGTATTTCAACAACCTTGTAAGGGATGTCAAGAGCACGTGCGTAAGATCGTGCTGACAAATCTGCCGATTTAGAATGAATACTGAAGTACTAGCAAGTGGTACGAAACAATTATTCCTGAGAAGGTCGATATTTTAATCGATCAACGATTTAAAGTCTTTTAAAGTCAGCGGAAGGATTTACGTCGTGTATTGTTTATTCTGTCGATGGCATGAATTCAATGATTAGTGTTTAATTCGCTTAGCAAAGCAAATGATGAACGTGGCCGAGAGAAAGAAAGAGAGAAATAGAAGGAGACAAGAATAATGGTGCATAGAAGTTGCACAATTATATTAGTATGTAAATGAGCATTGGTCAATGACAAATGAAGAAAAAATTCTGCGTATAAATCATGGAATTGTAATAGAGGAAAAAACACAGTAAAAAGATTGAAGACAGATGTTTGAAGCGAATATCATGAAGGAGACATGGACGCGATGAATGAATTAGTCGATCGAGATGAAGACGTTATTGAAGACTTCCTATTTAAAAAAAAAAAAAAAACGATCTCTTGTATGATTAGCGTCATATTTTGACATGAGTTGGCGATTTTTCAGGAGATTATCGGGATCGTCGTTAAACGGAGACTGTTATCAGAAGTCACCCAAGAGAAGAAGCCGGCTGTGTTGAAATGAATCGAGTACTGTTAGTTGAAACGCAAGCTATTCCGTCGAAAGAATAAAGCTCGCAATATAATGATATGGTACTTTAAATTAGAAGAATTAAATAGTCGGATGGTGTGCTCTCTAGCAAGTATAATGTACCAGTGTCTGACGACGACGATTGCGGCGGGTCCGCTAGGGTCACCGCGAATTCTTGGGCGCGGATGGTTTGATCGGACACATCCGTCTTTTGATCGTTTTGGACGACGGCCGATCTGGTATCCTCGAACGCGTCTAAAAAAAAGAAATGTTGAAAGGAATTTTCGAAAAACTGAAAATTAAGCCTAATAGATATAAAAATAAAACCAATTATGCTATTATATTTTTTTCATGAACCTACCGATGAGATCTATCTTTGATGAAAATCAATTAAGCTATTATATTTTTTTCATGAACCTACCGACGAGGTCTATCCTCGATGAGAAGGTGGTCTCGATTGGTCTACCGTTTCGATAAATAGCCACTGTGCTCGGAAAGGTGTTAATTAGCGGAGCGGCCGTTGTCGACTGTGTCGGTTTTCTGTATCTATTAGAGAGTCCTGATTTGCGACCGACGGATCCACCATTCTTTAAGGAATTTACCTGTTGGAATAATAATTGATTTTCTACATATACTATAAATTGATTTTCTTTATATACTACAAATAGTGCAAAGCGCCGCAGAAATAAATTAATTCTTGATTATATGAATCGCTTATGAATGCACACACGTGTGATATAAATGTGTTTGCAATTTCGTACAAAGCAAGAAGATAAATAGAATTGAGAAAATCTCGAGATTGATATCTCAGACAACACAAATAATTAAAATATCCTCTTCTATATAAACATTTTTAAAAAACTCGAATTTCATCCTTATTAAAGAGAATATATTTTTTTTTAAATTATTTATATCACACACAATCTTTATATCTTTGAGCCTTTTCTCTTTTAGGTATTTTAATATTTTAATATACTTCAGGCATTTTTTAGATATATAAAAGACTTTATAATCTTTTAGTTGTTATTAAAAGTATCTAAGAAATTTCTTAATCTTTTCAAACATCTTTTTATTTCCAAATTTTTTTTTTGGAATTTTTGTGTTGTTTGAAACGTTTCGCATAAGATATATTAGATATATTAAGATATATTAATTACTAATTTAAGCGTTAAAATATGTTCAAGATAATGTATCAGAAAAAGCGAAATCTAGACGCTCGCGCAGAAACGCGCGGTGCGTCTTTTGGAAAGGAATTTGTTAATTTCTAATGAAATTGTAAAAAGAACTAGAAGCACGGATGAAAATGTTCCTGGTTCATTCACATTTCAGAGTGTTCGCTCAGAGAAAAAGATCAGGTTTCCAAATTCGTGTTCCATCAACCCTGAAGTAAAGAATGTTTCTAAAAACCAGAGAAGGGAGAGCATCTTCGTAGATAGACAATGCGATGATGACGTAGCAACGTGTAAAGAATGATCATATAATATCTCGTTTCACGAAAGGTATTTTGGTTAGATCCAGCGAGTGATCGATGATTGAGAGATCTTGTCAGGTAGACATTCAAGAAAGCCATTAAGTTAGGAATAGTTATAACCGATTCCTTCCGCATTAGTCGATCGAGAAGATAGTTCATTGGCCGATGTAGTATATCAATTAGGCACCGGAAGCAAATTCAGAAGAGGAGAATGTTATATTGATTAAAAGATATCTTCAGTCAGGCGATTTTGTTCAAGCAAAGACATTAAGGCGATGATGGTCTTTCTGCATTTGCGAGAGGATCATGCTTCGAGAGATCTTTCAGTTAGCGGTGAAAAGAGGCGGCGGCGGCGTTTTTCGTTTCGTTTTCGCTTTAGTTAAAGCAACATGCGATCGGTCAAGGAATTACAGTATGTTATCAAGGCAAAGCGAGTCTTCAACATAAAACTGCACTGACCTCGAGCGAGGGCTGATCAGTGTCCTTGGCCAGAACAATTGTCTCCGTAGTTTGCGGCTCCTCGATGTCTTCCAGCCGTTCGATTGTCGCCTCCTTTTTTCCGTGTTTAAAATGCGTTAATATTTTTTCTCGGTTAGAAAAGTTATCATCTATATGAAGGTTACTCGAAAAATTTTTATCGGAATGCGCCCTTGTTTCTTCAGCTATTGAATCTTTTTCCTCGAACTTGGATTCGATGCTTTTTCTTGTCTCTTCTTCGTCGAAAAGATTGATATTTGTGTGAAAATTACTTGAAAAACTACCTTGAAGATCTGTATCTGTAGAATCAGAATCCGTCTCTTCAGCTGTTGAGTTCTTTTCCTCAGATTTGGGTTTAATACTCTTCAATACAACTCTCATCCTTCTTCGACTCTTATATTCGACGGGAAAATTTTGACCGCTTCTAAGATTATTTGAAAAAACGCCCCGAAGACTTTCATCCGTAGAATTAGAATGTGCACTGGTTTTTTCGGTCTTCGCTTGTTCCTCTTCGAATTTAGGTCTAACTCTCTTTAACACAATTCTCATTCTTCTTTTTGTTTTCTGCTCGTCAGAAAAATTTTTATTTGTGTTAAAATTATTCGAAAGATTATTTTGAAGATTTTTTTCGATAATATCCGTACTTGTTTCTTCAATTGTGGAATTATTTTTCTTAGATTTAGGTCGAACACTCTTCAGTAAAACTCTCATTTTTCTTCCTGTACGTCCTTTGTCGGAAATATTTTTGTTTGCATAAAAATTTGTTGAAAAATTGCCTTGAAAATTTTTATCAACAGAATCAGAAACTCCTCTCGCTTCTTCGATTGGATTCTTTTCCTCGGATTTAGGTTTAATGCTCTTTAATACAACCCTCATTCTTTCTCTCTTGTTTTCTTGTTCGGGAAGGTTTTTGCTCATACGAAGATCACTTTGAAAATTACTTGAAAGAGTTTCATTGACCGAATCAGGCTCGGCACTGGTTTTGTTCGTTGCAAGGTTTTCTTGAGACTGAGATTTTATCTTTTTTAATACATCTTTTCGTTCTTTTTCGATATTTCCATTCTCACGATGAACTTTCTCATGATGCGTTTTATTCTCATTGTCAGTAGCGGTAGGTTCTTGTAAAGTAGTGGTCTCCTCTTCCTCAACTCTTTC